AACCTTAACAAAATAATATAGCTATATCATATTATACAAGAATTAATTAATTATATTAAAACTTTTAAGTATATTATTAATTAGTTTAAAACTTGCAATTGTTTTATAAATAGTTTGTAAACTTAATTTTTGGAATATAAAAAAAAGATTTCTAGTAGAATATTATAGAGATAAGAATATAATTAGCTAATAAGTATCACTTTTCTTACAAATACTTTATATTTAATTTTATATTTTTTTTTAACATTTATATTACATGCTCATACTTTATTAATTATTAATTTAATCTGAAGAAAAAAGAATACATCTAAAGATATGATATGTAGCTCACCCAGTCACTATAAACACTTATGTGCAACTTGCCAAAGATGAGTTCAATCTCTCTAGTTTGTTCAATTTATCTCAAACTAACCCACCCCAGTTCACTGATCTAGTTCATTAGCCTTTCATAACTGCTTTCTTTTTTAATCTTCTTCTTCTAGCCTTCTAGATAGAAGAATTTTACTAAAGAACACCAGAAAATTTATAAAATAAAAGGAATACTAAAAAAGAAGAAAAGACTAAACTAAACGAAAACTAAAAGAAACAAACAAAAGAAAAAAAAGGAGAACAAGGCCAAAAAAAGATGGTCATGATGGCACTATTTTTGCCTGTATTAGGCTATATAAATTATATAATATTGTATAGAATAAAATTTAATCTAATACTATATGTAATAAAAAAAATGAAAAAAAATAAAAGAAATATTAAAAAATTTTTACACGTAATCTCTCCGACCTCTAATACACTGTTATTGTTTATTTAACAAAGTATAATTCAAATAAGCTTGTATGAAATTCTATTTTAGTAGATACATTCTAATTTGGAAGGAGTAAACACTGCCAATCTTTTTGAGAGGTATACTAATTTTTCTAAAATAACTAAAAAGTTTCAAAATAGCAAAAATATAGTGGAAGGTCTTTAATTGCAGATACTTCAAAATTTCTAAGAAGTGTGTTAAAATTCAAAACTTCTGTTATTTCTCTGTTCTTCTTTGAAGTAACAGTCTTTGAGCTTTGTCAACAAAGTAGAAGCCTACTATGAGACTTTTTCCTTTTATCAAGATTTTTTATACAAAGGCACTGCCTGCCAGTTATCTTGTATAATAATGCTTTTGGCTTGCATACTGAACATTCTTTTAGAGGAGTCCCCATAGCAAAAAGTTGATTTCTAGACAAACTGCACCATAAGGCCACATCTCTCCAACAAAAGTTTTGTTTTTTATTAGTTAAAATTTTGGTATGAGTGATCATCAGGACTTTATATTTAATTGTTAGCTTTTATTTTAAAATATAAAAACTAATTAATTTAAACTAGTAATTTTTTATTATTTATTTATACAGTATTTGGTATTTTTTTTAATTTAAAAATTTAAAATTAATAATACTGTATACTGTATATACTACAGTATACAGTATATTGCATATATAAATTTTATAGCTTTTTAATTATTGTAACAAATTTTAAATAAGATAACTTTTAGTTACAATAAAATATTATTTTTTTTTTAACAAATTTTCAAATTAATAATTTACAAGTATTTTTATATTTGTAAAAAAAAAAAAATTAAAGATTAACTATTTTGTTAAAAACTTAAAAATATAAGTAATAATTAAATTTTGGTTTAATTTGTTAAACAAACAAAAATAAATACTAAACGTAAGTAAAATAAATATTATAACGTAAGTTACGTATATACTAATCCATATAAAGTAAACATAAATAGTTATCTCATACAGTCACAAAATAGCGCCCATGAGCGTTATACCTGAATTAAGCTAAAATTTGAAATTACAGCTCTGCGCATTATTTCGTGACTATACTTTAATAATTTGTATAATTTGGGTTGGTTTAATTTGGTTTAGTTTGTTTTATAGAACTAAAATTATTAATTAAAATTTTATAATTGCAAACTAAGCTAAATTAAAAATTTTTATATTTATTTACATGAGTGCTGCCAAAGGAAAAAGGCCGTTTAGACTTTCGAGTATATTAATAATCTAATATATTTGAAAGTCCGAACGGCCTTGGCAGCACTCATTAAATTTAATATATTTCAAATTGATTTATTCTTTAGTAAATATAGTAAATATTTATAATTACAGTATTTTAAATTATACTGTATTACTAAGTTTTGTTTTGCTTTTTTATATATATATATATTACGTAAAAATTTACAAAATCTAAACTTTTTTAATAGAATTTTTTACCGCCATTGCGATGTATCACTACCCCATTGTCGCGCAATTAAATTTCAGGATTTGACTTTCGAGATTTTGACTTTCAGATTTTGACATAGACCCGGGGTAGCGATACATCGCTATTTTTCATTTATTATACCATATGTTTATTATGTTTTTTAGATTTTCTAAGTTTGAATATAAAATTTTCAACACAAATTTTCATGAGTGTTAGTATTTAGGGTTAGGGTTTTGGAAAGAGTTTTTAGGGGCGTAGAGCATTTTTACTTAGAATATCTTGCATTGATTAATTATCCAGTTTTTGAGATAATATATACATAGGTGTAAAACACCATAGATGCGTCAACTTCTTGTTTATTAACAAAGAATCGTATCCACATAAAACTTTTAAATTGTATACGTAGAATTAGAGAGAAACCGATCTATTAAAATAAAGCAGGTAATACTACATTAAGTCTAGAAGCTAGACATATGGGGGTGAGTCAATAGAGATCAAAGCAAATTTTTTATAATAAAAATTTTTTATAACTTTAAACAAGGATAACTTAATGAAACCTTAACCAAATTTAATAAAAATTTTTTAAATAATTTTTATAAACTTGTAGAAAAATTTTTGATTAAGTTTTTGTTAAGTTATCCTTGTTTAAAGTTTTTAAAAAAACTTATTAGAAAATATTTGCTTGGTTTTTATTGACTCAACCCCATATATTAATTATTATTGTGAAAATTTGTGCTAAACAATAATGAATTAAATTAATCTCAACGAATTTTGCATTTTACTGAGAAACATTTTTATTTTTTAAGTATATTAAGAATCAATTTCTACAATATAATTTGTTAGTGATCGAAGTGTCGCTTCGAATTAATTGAAGTGATCCCTATAACGATTTTGTTGTAAATTCATAATGCGAAATGCAGATTTTAAATTTTAATCGATCAGAGCAACTTTATGGCTCCAGGTTTTTTCAACTTAAAAATGAACGATCAATTTTTTAATCAATCAGGTTGCTCGATAAAATAAAGATCTTTATACTAAATTGATATTAAGGACTATTTAAAGTCCAAATACTTAAGTTGATTATCGTTGTATAATTTATTTAAAAATGATATCGATATAGATATTGAATAAGATAAATCACGCGTAGAAAATAAATTGCTTTGCAGTCCTGATATCGATATAATCTTGACTTATGACAATGCGGCAATGCGGCTTTTGGTAAAAAGTGCGGCAGTGCCGCAACCGCATTAATCCTGTAAGTTAATTTTGACAACTATACTAGATATATACTATCATATGATTTAGAATGCTAAATAGTTTAAGGTTCTGCAAATGCCCATGCCAAACACATTACATCAGGCAACACTATTAGTAGTGCCTTGTGTCGTGTCTGTGCCCATAGATACAAAATTGCAGACACATTATGGGCACGGCTCAAGATGCTACATTAATACTTCAAAGGTCCTTGGGCCCATGCCAAATTTTTTGTGTCTGTGCCCATGTCCGTGCTAATTTTCTGTGCTGTGCCTATGCAGTGACCTAAGGTTTGTGCCTGTGCCCATGCTTTTTGTTAGGCACGGGCATGAGCTCGGCTGGCAGACCCCTAGTGTTAGTTTGTTTATACAGATTGAAGATTTAATCGATATCAATCAAGCCCAAGTCGTGTCCACGCTTATTGACAATAAAAAAATAGAACCTCCAGAAAGTTAAACTACACAAATTTTATTTTATCCTATTATTAAAATAAAATTTGATAGCTTCATATTTTCATTCATCATTTGCAAAAATGATAATACGAATCAAACTAGTAGCATTGATGATAAAACAGGCTTAAAACAGAAGTGAATCATAATTATAAAGCATGATAATCTAAATATAAAATTGTACAAAAAAAAAAAAAACCCACAATAGACCTGATCCAATTCTAAAATAGAAAGAAAAAGTAGAACCTTTCGACGTACGATAATCAAATGCATGTAAGCTCAATGTCGATCATATTGTTCGTTACTTGCTTGAGGCGAAAATTTAAAGATTTAAAACGTGAACTATTATGTTTTTGATAATCCAAGTATTATAATTTGAGTTACGTAACTCTCGCTGTTAACATATTCGTCTTTTCGTATGACATTCAATGGAATAAGAGTTTACAAAATTCCCGATTGAGTCAACTAAATATAGTTCGATTCACTGAGATCCGGTGATAAAACTATAAAAGAGGATTCATTCAACTAATATTTTATTTGAGCGATTTTCTATTTGTGTCATAAGACCAATTAATATAGACGGTGAATTGCCCTGTATAAATGTCTTATAGTCTTTCTTTTCAATTGAAAAACTTTTGTTAAAAGTATTTAAAGGTAATTTTTTTTTTTCTTTCTTTCTTTCTATTTTTTTTCTTTCTTTTTTTTTTTTTTGTAATCTATCAATTACGTTGGCTGGCCTTTTTTTACATGAATGCATAAATTTTTTACATTTCATGATACTGAAAATAAATATGTTGTGTATGGAAAACGAAGTTTCTGTTTTCTGTAAAAATTTTTTGAATTATATAAACATTGTCAAATAAATTAAAGTTTTCGGCTTAAACTCGGATATTACAAAATGAAAAAAGAAGTGATTGTATATCCATGGAAATTGGTTTTTTTGTTAAGAAAAAGATATAAATAGAACTTGTCACAGTTTCCTCTCTTTTTTTTTTTTTTTTGTTTTTTTTTTTTTCTGACAACTCCCTGTCAATTTTCAATTTATTTTATTAGAAATTCATGTTTCAAAAAAACAGTCGAGAAGTGAGGAGGAAGCAAAAACCGGTAGGAATATGCATTTTTACGACAATTCCACCGGAAATGTTTATAAACATATGCCAGTACTTACCGCCTGTAGACTTGTTATCGCTGGCACGTGTGTGCAAGAGGTTCAATGGCTTCTTAAGCACTGAGAATTCAATAACGACACAAGAAATTTGGAGAGCTTCGAGAGCTGAATATTTACCTTTCTTACAGATGCCACCACCGGATGGCATGTCAGAACGCCAATACATTAGGCTGGTCTTTGAACGTGGATGTCAATTCTGTGGTAAAGGTAAAATACGAAAAGTCTATTGGGAATATAACGTAAGGTCTTGTGAGCAATGCCTGAAAGCAAGGACAATTAGGTAATCTTTAACATTCAAATATTTGGGCTGCCGTCAATAGAAATAAGGCAGTTGACATTTTTTAAAAAAATTAATACTTTGACTTTCACAGCTAATATCTCAATGAGTTTTGAAGTTATCTTGGTGATTTAATATTCAAAAGAAAGCTTAGATCGTAAGCCTTCTTTTGGATTTTAAATCATTAAGATAGCCTCAGAATCCACCGAGATATGAGCTGTAAAAGTTAAGGCATTGGTTTTTTTTAAAAATGTCAACCTGCCTTATTTCTATTGACGGCAACCCATTTCATAGTAATATAAGATATTTCATTTCACCTCGCCGACAGCTGTCTTTCCAATAGTCTACTGTACCATAAAATAATATGAAAATGACAAAAAAAACCATAGTAATATCTAACCTCAACTTTAAAAGTGAAATTATAATTAATGTTAATGTTTGTCGGTGATGTGATTTTTAATAAATGTCGGTAAAATAATTTCTAACATATTTATAACATATTCTACACTGCAGACAAGATGAAATTCAAAAACAACTTATTTCAAAGACGCATGGTTTTGATATGCCAAATATGTATTGTTTAGAAGAAATAATTTCCGGACTGACATTTATACCATCATGGTCGCGACGTGCTTGGGACAGGGGAACTAAACGCCGTCCATCGAGTGTCTATTGGATTACACACGTAATTGAAGCACTTGAGGAATATAAAAAAATTCCTATGTATCCAACATCATTCAGAAGGGAATGGTTAAAACAAAAGCGAGAAGAAGGCGCTGCAAAAATGAAAGAAGTAGTTAGACGAAAGTTAGAAACTGATATGGATTTACGTAGTAAAAATAAAGAAAATTCTCAAAAAAAACTTGAACGACTTTCCACAATTAAAGCAAAATTGAATTCAATGAAAGTTGAAAGGAATGCAAATAATTGTCTAAAATACAATGACACACTTGAGGAGTGTCCTTCATATCTAAATTGTACGTTAGCGAATACCCGTATATCAACGCAACCATTTACAGATAGAGCATGGGCCCTTTTAAGAAAGAAACTCGAAAAGGAATATGAAGAACTCTGTGAGATAAAAAGGCGAGAACGTCAAAGAAAAGAAAGTTCTATGCTAAAAGGTGCAGTCTTTCAATTGAGACAATTTGATATTTATAAAATGGCAAAGCAGTGGAGACCAGTTCCAAAAGCTCAATTTGCTGAAGAAAATCAAACTGAAATCGATAATTCCGTTAATTCTTCAAACAATGAAATTGGTGAAAATATTGCAGCTTCATCGAGTATTATGTCTATTAATTCATTATTATCTCCAACATCAGCTGATGATGTCTCTTTTAGGATGGCAACCTCATCTACTATAACTTATCCTAGTTCACCATCAGATACACAAAGTGTTTATGATTGCTATTTATCTAATTGGGAAAATCAATTATCTTTAGATTCATATGACGCTTCATCCTCATCTATTCCCACAGAAACTTCATTAAATACAACTTTATCAACTTTATCAGATGATATGAATTATTTATCTTTATTAATTGACATTGAAGATTGGTTTACTTCAAATACCGCAAATCAAAATAAGGCTACTTTAGATATACTTCATTACCTTCCGTGGTGTCCATCATTCAAAAGTCCACCTTTCCATGATAATAATCCATATATCTTATGGGACGAACAATTCTTAATGAACACACTAATGCCTCAAATTTGGAATGAAGCATTAGCTCTACAATCAAACTCAGGTCCAATTAAAACAGTACAGGGTGCTGTTCTTGGTGGTTATAGAGAAAATAATATATTTAAATGTAAAATATGTAATGAATTTAATATAACGTCATATATGAACATTAGATTTCATTTATTTTATAACCATAAAATTACTCATATTTTAGACGAAGAGATGATTGAAGTTGTACCAACTATAGATAATCAAATAATATCTCATTCTACAGAGATTGTGGACAAATTATTCAAATTATTTGCTGAGGGTTACAATTTTATGTTATTGAAAGAATTGTTGAATTCTGAAATGTTTTAGTTATATATATATATTATAAGAATTTTTTTTTTTTTTTTTTATAAGGATATTAAATCGTTTAGCTGGATATTAAATAAAATATATTATCAGAATTATTTTATAAATTTTAGACGGTTTAACATTCTTAGATGTTAATATTTAGCTTATACACTTCATTATATGTGAATCAAAACAATTGGGTTTTGGTTCTATTTTATTGTTTAAATATATCGCATATTTTTATTTTATTATATTTTACGCTCAAAAAAAAAAAAAAAAAAAAATAGCATTTTTAAGGCATATAAATAAAAATTTTCGACTCTTGTAAAAGATCAATGCGATTTTTTTATTTATTTTTATTCTCTGGGATTATATTACATTGCAGAAAAGTTAAATAAATTCGTCCACACAAAATTATCAAGAATGGCAGCATTAATGTCAACTGAATTAAACAGTTGAGGTGCAGACATTTGGAATTTTGGCGATAGCTACCCCGGCAAAATTATCACGGCGATAAATCATATCAGTCACACGATTTGTCACACACATATATCACATATAAACTTTTTTTATATATAAAATTATAATGAACTTTGCAGCTTTGATGTTTTTCAACCTAAAGATTAAATTCTGCGATTATATAGAGCATGAAAAGACCAAGTTACAGTTCTGCCATTTTTGCATATTTTAAAAATAATAAAAATTTATCGACTTTAAAGTGATAATTACATGTAAAATTATGCTCTGAATAAATTTACTTAGAAATGAGAGCAAAGGTTACCTTAGTAGATAAATGAGTTAGCTATATGCTAAATTTAAAAATTCTAGTTTTTTTTTTTTTTATTATTATTAAAGTAACCTATTTTTGTATTTAAGTAAAGTTGTTTGGCATAAAATTTTACACATATATACTTGTCAAACCGCATTTTCGCGAACCTTTTACTAAGTGAAAAATGAGGTTAAAGTCAGAAAAAAAGACGAAAACAGGTTAGCTTAGTAAAAAAAAAAGTTGCACATAGAAAAACTGGAATTTTTAAATTTAGCATATAGTTAACTCGTTTTTTTACTAAGATAACCTGCTTTCATTTTCTAAGTAAATTTATTTAGAGCATAATTTTACATGTAATTATCACTTTAAAGTCGGTAAACTTTTATTTTTGGCGAAGTTACATTTTTAAATTATGCAAAGATGGCAGAGCTGTAACTTGGCAAATAGAACAAAAAATTTCTTCTTTTCATGCTCTATATAATTGCAAATTTTAATTTTAAGTTAATATGTAGGTTGAAAAACATCAAAGCTGCAAAGTTCATAGTAATTTTATGTTTTTTACTATATAAATAGAAATGCCGCACACTTTCCCGAAATACCATTTACCCGATTATAATTTTGATATCCCTTTTTCCCGACAAGACATATTTATGGTAGTCTATTTCACCGATAGAAAATTTTAATGATTTTTTAGTATCCGACCCGGGTGGTCAACCCGCGGGTCACCTGCTGGCAGAATCGCCAAATTGACTCTAAATGACAGGTATTCATGACTTTTTTCTCAAATCACTTCTTAAGGTTACAGGCATTATAACATACGAGAATGAAAGAATAGAGTTTATACTCGGGTAACCCAGATATTAGATATTTATAATTTTATTTAGAATATAATGTGTATTAAACCTAGAAGTGTTTTACAGAATAGAACAGAGACAATAAAGCTATAGCCTGAGTTACTGCTTGGAGTTACAGCTAAACCGTGACTCAAATTATTGATACATATCAAATTTTTAGACTATTAGAAAATCATGTTCTAGTAATGACTTTTGAATCCGCATCTATATCACAATACAGCTTGAGTCGAGATATTCAAGCAGATAACAGCTCTAATCAGGCTACCCAGGTTCATGAAGATTACTATGTATTTATATTTAGCACGTGAGTATAAAGAATATACTGTATATTTATATTAATCTTAGTATTTAAACAAGATATCACGCTCATGAATACTTACATATCCACTTCGTTCATTTTATTTGCATTAATTTAGTGCATAAGCATAAAGAGCATTTATAAATCTAAGTCTTCAAAATAAGTTATTCATGCCTATGAATATTTACTATTAGTTTATTTTAATTTAGTGCATGAGTATAAAGAACGTTTATTAATATAAATATTCAAAATAAGTTATTTCAGCTTTATTTACTATTTATAATTCTTTAGATTGTGATTAAGCTATCCAAGTTTATAATATTTACCATTTATACGCATGGATTTAGTGCACAAGTACAGTACGATAATATATAAGAATTATTTAATTTCATCATTCGCATTAATTTAGCGCGTTAATCTAAGTATTTAATAAGCTACTAAACCTCATAAATATTTACAATTTATTCGCGTTGCTGAGTACAAAAATTATTTTAAGTGTCGCATAAATAAAAATCTAAATTTGACAAATGATTATTTGTATAAATTCCGTTACAAAATTCCGGATGACCCGGGTAATCCACCCGCGGGTGACCCGTTGCGGAATTTCTCTTACCACCCGGGTGATCTGAGTGACCCATTTTAAATTGGGTTGAGTTAAACTTTTTTAAGTCTACTTCAATAACCACATGATATTTTAGCAATAGCGGTCTTCAATTTATACTAAAATGTGAAATTTTATGTGTATACCTAGACATGTACTGTACATTGAATTGCATTAAACCAATTATCTTATTATATGGCTTTTTACTTGAGTTTAAGTCTGATGCTTACTCAACTTCTGGAGTTGAATCAGTTTGGACCGAACGTTAACAACCCCACCGCCGTTAATTCTCACTTTCCCGAAACCTACCATCCGAAATACCATTTCCCAGACCTCATAATTCCGATATCCCTTTTTTCCGACAAGACATATTTCTGACAGTATATTTTACTATAGAAATTTTTTACCGAATTTTTTTTCCAATTCCCCGACAACCTGAATTTCCGAAAAATTTTATTTGACAGACTTTTTCACCGACAAAACCCTTTCTCCGAACTCCTGTTCCCCAGACAAAAATTTTTCCGAAGCCTCTTCACCGATAAATATTTGATATATTTCCCCGAAAGGATGTTTCTCCGAAAAGATGTTTTCCCGAAAAGAAATTCCCAAAAAGGAATTTCCCAACAAGATGTCTTCTCGATTGAACAAAATTGTATAAATCAGGCCAACTCAACATAAACCAGGCTAACTTTGTCGGTGAAATGGTTGTCGGCAAATTAGTTTATACCTTTTTTCGGGTTATCAGATGACTCAGAATTTATAAAAATAGCTGTAAATTCGGTAAAACATCCTTCGGTAAAAGAGCTTTCAGTAATATATTTTCAAAGAAATAGAATCTCAAAAATCAAAAAAAATGGTATGTCAGTGAAATAGACATTCATCTTTTTAATATCCGGTGAAGTGGAAATTGCAGGTAAATGAATTATCATTATCAATTACAGCTATTATCATAATTCCTGAAACACCTGACAAAAATTAGCCGAATGATTGTTTGGCCGATTCGGTTAAGTTAGTGATTTCGGCATGATCCATTATATATAATAAAAATAATAAAAGCTATTTTGTATTATGACCAATTATTATAACAATAATGTCA